GTATTGTTGGGGAACAAGTTTACAAGCGCTGAGATAAAACAATCACAAATGTTTCATGTCGATGTCCTTTCGAACGGCCCTACCCATGAGACGATGTCATCTCAAGATGGAGTGGCCACTTTGCTGAATCACGCCCTTTCTCACTTGAAGGAGGCAAGTGCATGTACTGAGTTTACCAAAGCAACATGTGAAAAAAATCAACCATGATCCTCACTAAAAGCTCATGCTTCTTTTGCCAAAAGGCTCAAGTTTAAAAGCACTGTCTTGACCGCACAAACAGCCGCCTGGTTTGGGTAAAAGATTGCCTGGCTATCTCAAATCGCTTCCCGCAACAACACAATCCTCCAACAATCTGTTCTGGTCGCTCCAGATTATGCAGCAGATGGGACAACCACCAAGCCACACATTCCAAAAATAATCAGAACGAACCATGGACATCAGCAGAACAAGAAAACTGATCAATCAGGACAGGCCACCGCATCGTGAAGGAGACCCGGCGAGCACGCTCCAGCCGGTCCCCAGGTTTGTAGCCCCAGGCTGCAGCCTGGCCAAAGAAGGCAGATTGACCGATGCCATGGTTCCACACAAAGAACATTAACACCAACTGGTTGGTCGATGTCTCTCTGGATCCTATGCTGGTCGATGTCTCTCCAGTTGGAGCAAGGGCACTTTACCAAGAACTCGTCTCGTAAAGTCGCGACAGAGACACCACAGGACCTTTGACACCAAGTCTGGGTGCACAGAGGCTTGGTGTAATCGTTTTCGCAAGAAACACAACTCTCTTTTAACAATTCCACCCTTTCTAACTCACAAACTCCAGAACAACTGCCGGATGTCCTAGACCTAGAGAAAAGGAGCACTGTTGTCAGGTTGATTTAGTTACAATATAGAAGCCAAGCTCATCAACCCACCGAGGAGACTAGGACGGAGATCTTGTGGCAATTGTCCAACAAGCTCGAGAGTTTTGGTTGATGACTCGGCAAACTCTCATTTGGGGGAGAGTCCAAAAAGCATCAAAAAGCCATCCAAATGTCTTCACCCTCCACATACCTTCACTGCCAGACTTCCAACCCCCTCCGTTCCTGCTCCAAGTTCACCAAGTTCTCCGGGATACTTTCAGCGGCCTGAGATCGGTTCTTGGATGGCACCGTGGGCGTGGTCATGAGAGAGGGTTTGCTATGGGATTGTATCAAGAAGCCACCTGGAGTGATCAATGAAGAACAAACATATAAAAATAGATTCTTTTGTCAAGGGTTGTACAACACGAACAACTGGAATACATTGCTGAAGTGATGATGAACCCGGGTGGTACAACAACTACTAGTACACCTCCAAAATTGCTGTAGGAACCCCGTGTCGCCCTTGACGTCAGTAGTGTATATTGTACTTGCCTCTCTGTGGACTCCCACAACAAAGAACAGCTTTAATTTTACATGTATATGATGCAGCCTTTTTAATGGCAATCATGTTAAAATGCTTTTTGCAACATAACGGACAACAACAACAACAACATTTCAAGCTTGTGCGAATTCCACATGCCCAAAAAGAACACGTGAAAAACAGCAAAAAAAATGCAACATGTGTCTGCCCCCTCATTCCTCTCTGGAGGACGGAGTCCCTCATTTTGCTACACCCTTACGCGTTGACTGAGGGAGTGAGCAGCTGCATCAATGCCGTGTCGATGGTGCCAAAAAGCGTCTTGGCCTGAGTTTTGCTTGATCACTCTAGAACAACTCAATCAATCTCAATGTTATAGTCAGGGCCACTAACCGACTTATAATTAATACCTTGTCTGACAGCAGCTCCTTCTCCTTATCTTCCATCCGAGCACGAAGCTTCATACTTAAGTGTTTTGGCTGGATGTCTTCTATTTCCGCCAAGTCTTTTCTTCCGCCGTGTGAAAACATGAGCAGTTAAAAAGTACAACTTCAGACTCACAGTTTGGGCAAAACAAATTCTTGTACTCACTGACTCACTGATTGACTTTACACCGAAAGGCGCGCAGAAAAAAGCAATGAACCCAAACAAGTCAGCTGGTTGGCAGGAAGGTCATTACTCCAAGCCCACCGACCGCCTGACTACCCCAAAACAGCAACATCAACAATCCGGGAAGCAAATCAACAATCCGGGAAGCAAACATGGAAATAAATTCACTACAGTATGAGAGGCACATCCCCAACCCTGGGCCAACCAACTGAAGACCAGCAAGCTCCTCTCAGCAGGAAGTGAGTCGATTCCAGACATGATCACATGATATGGACAGTGCCAAACCATAGATGGAATCGCAATGAAGAGACGCAAACACAATGGTTCGATGATGTTCAATATAATCAATGCTAGGGGGGCCCATGATGTCAAGATCAAACACACACAGACACAGTGTGTAGCACCCGTCCTTGGCTCCACGAAAAGGGTATTCATGGCTGACTGCCCAATCTGGCAAGATTAAGGCTGCAAGAAAGGTATCAACCACCTGATGGACATCCTGGAAACGGATTGTGGTGACTCACGTTCCCACATGGTTCTCACATGCAATGGCCATCAATGGCCTATAATTATACTTGGTGCACACCAGGCACAAGCGCTGCCTGAAAGCCACCAGGCACATCGTTGGCCGGGTCCCATTTCATGCAGTCCTGTGCAAAGGCAATTCACAATTCTCCCGAGGTGCAGAACTTGCCACAGCTTGATGGAATTTCTGGGGCGAATCTCGGGCGATCGGAGTTTTGAAGGGATCTTCTATCATCTTGTAACCATTGTATCCTCCAAAACCGTGAAGAAAATTTTCTTGGTCTGTACCTGGATTTGCTGAAGAAACCAGGAAACACTGCTATTCCCACAAAGGATTCACCAGGGAAACACATTACCATAAGCAACAACCAGGTTTAGATTCGTGTGGTGCAGACTTCCAAGCCTTTTTGAGACGAAAAAAGCCTTTCTCCTCCCCACACCAACTCGCGATCGATCCGTCGTCGCCCCTCGATAGCCCTTCCACCTTGTGGGGTGCTAGAGGGTTTGTATGTACGATGAAACAGGGCGAAAACCGTCCGTCCTCCGTGCCCGAGCGTGGGTAGAAGGAGAACAAGCAGGGTGAGCCCAAGCTCAAAATGGCCACCTGGCACGGTTTCTGCACACGAAACGCCTAATAGCGATCTCAGAAACTGCTTGCAGAAACGGTGTTTCTTTCAGCCATGGAACTTGGAATACACAGGACTTAGCTTTAGCATGCTTTAGCCTTCTGGCTACAAATGTACAACTTCATGACCATGGACCTCAGGTATCAATAGCAATAGCCTATACAATGTGTTCAAGACCAAAGTAATAACACCATTTGAAAAAAAAAACCTAGATACCGGCACTATATCCCTTATGTGCAACATCTTGGCAGGCATTTTCTAGGCATGCAGTCAGGTTGTTTGAATGATCAGTGGTTACCAATAGCGATTCGCGGATCTCTCATTTCTTTGTGTAAGGATTCAGGGCTTCCCTTCACCGCTGAAGGACACATCTGGACACATCAAGCTCCCATGACCTCGTTGGTTGGGGAGATCAGTAGCAGAAGGTCTTCATCCGATTTAAGTACACATGATCTTCATCCCCGGTCTGGAACTCGCATTTGAGGCTTCACGTGGTTCGGATCAGCTACACTCCCGGAAAAAATAATCGAAGTGAACCATAGGCCCCTCGAGGACCATGTTCCTCTACAAGCAGGGTCTGCTCCGCTTCCGCCGGAGGGTAATTATATAAATCAATGACCTCTGATTGTCATCATGACCAAACCCTTTCACCAGCATCAATCTTTTGCAACTTCCTCTTTCGCCCTTCAAGCTTTTCCCGCTGTTCTGTGTGGGTTGTGGCCCGAAGTTGCCCTAGATCCGCCAAGATGAATGTGTGCCGGTCTCATCGAGTACTTTGAGGAAACAACTATGTAACTATGTACAGGTCTTCTATCTCATTGAATTGGATGCTAGCGGTTCATGAAGGTCCAACAGTTGGCGCATAAAACATCAAAGGAAAACATGTCCAACGTGTCGAATCAATTCACCAGTTAACTCACCCAACTGCATGTTTGGTGCTGGCAAGACAGGTCTGAGTTTGTACATTGTGATCATAATATAGTTAAACGAATGATTATACATGATTATATATGCTTATACATGACAATGTAATTATGAAAGACACAACCACTTCATACCACTTCTTTGACTTAGGATCCCTTGGAACTCCAAGAATTTGAAGAAATGGAGTGCCACTCCAGTTAGTTAGTGTGTGTGTATCACATCGTGAGGTGCTTCCACCATTTGCCTCAACAGCAGCGAATGGCCATGTTTCTCCCTACCAAAAACAAGCTGTGCTTCAGCGCTTCTTTCCTCACGGAGCGCATCTTCTGCTTTCGACCGCTGAGTAAGGCGGGCAGTCAACGAAGGCTCAGCGGACTCTCAGTCATCCTGCGCAAAGCTCAGCAGAAATGGTTGATAGGAGTCCGCTCAGGTCAATCAAGCCGCCTTAGGTGGTTTCCTTTCACTCCCTTGAATCACTTTAAGCTGCGAACGAAACCGGGCACCCTGTAGCTGTTGGAGAAACTGCCATATACTCACCATAAAAACCAAAACAATTAAGCCATTAACCAAAACGATAGATAACCTTTCTCACTAGTCCTGCACCATTCCATGCCATAGTCTGATTCTTCTTTCCTGGTACATATTTAACTTGCCTCCCGACATATTGTCAATGTTGAGGGTGCGTAGACTGGAGACATGCAGGCATCCCAATTTCCCGGCACCAGTGCTGGCTACCTAGACATGAGCAGAACGCAGGACACCAAGATATAACCAGCACCCTTCACATCGAAAATTCTGAGACCTTTACACCAATTTGAGCCAACTCTGACAGCCTCATAACTTCTGCAAATCCAAAGTGTGTTTGGTCAAGTTCTTGAACCCAGCCACATGTCTGGTCCGCGCACGGCACTTGACGTTTTGGAATGGACAAAAAAAAACATCCTCGGGATCGATCTGCGCGGCGTCGAAGGCGCCGAACTTGCACCTTGGAGAGTAGGATTCACCAATGCTCCGAGTAAGTTATGGGAGAAGTCAGGGTCCACCAACATCCACCAAGCTTACAAGGTAAGAAGAAATGGATCAAAAGGGTCCACCAACCTGAGTAAAACTGCCAGCTCAATCACTCAGTGGATGAAAAGAACGTGAAGACTCATCATAGTTGGGTCAAAGGCAGATACCACCCCGCCTGCAGCATTTTTTTGGTATTTCGTCAAAGCCGCACTTGTGTGATTGTATTGTCAGAGCTGTGAATTTGCTTGGATCTGGCCATAGAGAAAGTGTTGAGGCAAAAGTGTTTTGGACTCTCTACTCACTCAAACAGGGCGCCATTCACCCATGGCTTGGACGCCACGGTCACCGGCACCACCTTGAAGATACTTGAAGAAGTCCTGCAAAGGATTCCACGATGATCCATGACACCCATGGCCCATGGTGGCTAAATGCTTATAACACATCAAACAACGAAGTCAGCTGCACCTACCTGCCTCTGGATTCTGGATCATCTTGAGATTCTGGAGAGGAAGCAAAACTATGCTATTCAGCCATTGATACGGTTTCTGAAAGCTTTCATGAAGGTTGAGGTTCAACCTCCCAAGGACAACGAAGGTTGCAAATTTCAACAAATATCTCGGGAATTTTGGAAAACAAAACGGCCATGATGGTCCATCTGGTGGATGCAAACTCTCCAGTACATGAATGAGATGTCCGCGGCGAGTTGACCCTTGCGCTAGTGACTTACAACAAACATCCAAAAGAAACATCCAAGAACAATAACAATAATATCCACACCTGACTCACCTGACATCTGGTTTTGCAGGATTATGATTCTCTGCGATGAGGACGGTGAGGTAGAGCAAGCAATCGACTAAAAGTAGCAAAGACAAACAAACGCCTGGGTACCTGGGCACTTCCCTTTAAACAACTTGAGCAGGACTCCAAACTCTGAGTTCACACCAGGCACTTGTGGTGGTTCAAAACTAGTTGCGTCTGAGAGATTCGTCACGTTGGTGAGCCCACAACTCTGGAGGATACCGTAAATGTGCAACAAGAAGAACACGCACATACGCACAGAGAGAAGAACAGTGTTTTCATGTTTCATGTGTAAAAAAAAGAAACATAACTATAACATTCCATGTGCAATGTGAATCGATGTCAGCCAGGTCAAGTCTTGTGAAGTGCTTTTCCAATGCCGCATCTCGTTCTCCCGTTGTTGTGCCTCCACATTCCGAGCTTGTGCTTCACGTTGCTCCTGCTCTTGAATTCATGGAAAGCCCGAGCTTTCATCCCTCTCAGTCTGTGGCCGAACAATTGTGGAGATGGCCAACCATCTGGAGCCGTGTAAGACAAGACATGTCACTTCTTCCCCGTGCTTATTCTAGAAACAATCATACATAGTAGGTGTGAAATGGTTTCTATGAGTGGACTTGAAATAAACAGGGCATCCCACAAGTCTGAGAGAACTTCCGCAATCAATCTGCGCCTTTAGCGAGAGCTTCGGCAAAGCTCCCGATGAGCACCTGCAGGGAATGTCACTTGTCCAACCGCCTTGCAATAAGATTGTAGGTGTGTGAAGATTACAATTCAGTAGGTACCAGTAGCTTCAGATCTGATATAAGTCAACATGATCTCACACTGCTTGTATGATGGCGGCCAATACATACATATCCAAATTGACGGGCTTGTCCAGCATGGCTCAACTCACCGCTTCCAGGTCAAGATCTGAGCGGGGATTGAAGAGATGTGATGCACACAACTGTGCTGAGGCACTTTGGGCAAGTTCCATCTGAGGGAGTGCAATACGAGTGGTACCTTAGGTCGTGGTGTCCGAGCAAGACAAAAGCACCCCCCCCAAAAAAAACAGACCATGAGAAAACATAGGCATCATTCAACACAATTGCGCATAATTGCCAGTGGTTCATAGGAAACACAGGTAAGTCTAATTCTGCCTCAGAATCCTAGCTGCCTTATCTGCAAGAAAACAAATCTTTTGCCAACCCCTCTCAGCTCTTTGCGAGTGGCCGCAGAAGAAGTGCACTGCAGGTACATCCAAGGTCAGGCCACACCTGGGCAGAATCATACGGTCATGGACATCCACCCTGTCACTTTTTGACACGTCTAGTCATAAGGGCTGCAGAATAAATTGCATCGGGATGGCAAAGTGTGTGTGTGTGTGTTTTTTTAAAATAGAGCTTTTGCAAGTGATTTTCATGACAATTTGCCACCGACAACAAGCATTTTCAAGGTTGATACGGGATTCAACTGCGAAAGAAACGAGCAAGCAACTTTGTTGGACCATAAACGGGCTGCCGGAGTCTGAAACCACAAAGCAGCCAAATGCGACGGGTGACTACGGAGTCTACGGGTGGATTTGAGTGCTATTGCCGATGATTGCTGTGGCAATGTCAGTGGTCAGCAGTTTGCAAGGTGTGCTGCTAATAAGGTGGCGGTGGTCGGCGAGATACTACAATGATTTATAGCAAGTGATGGTCGATTGGGAGATGATGATTTAGCGCAGCGAGGTAAAGCATTGTTTGTAAAAGGTGCTCTGATACTCAAGCCTCTACCTGATGGTACTAGTAAGGAAGCAATCTGCCTCCAACAACTGAGTCATTGGTGCTAAAACGACTGGTGAGGGGCTAAGTCTTGCAGAAGCCTCTATTCCATCTACTCAATACAACAAATTGAGACGTTTATGTGGGCAGCGGGCCGTATTTGGGACAGCCAACCAACTCGCCAGGCCCTCGGTGCGTCGGTACGCACCCGCCTGGCACTACGGTACCACACCATCAGGCCGGTACCCATCCTGGGCGTCTCACTGAAAGCACCGGGTGTTCTGGAACTCCTTGGCCTGGAAATGGAGATCAGCAGTCTCAGTCCACCAGGTTCAACTTCACCAAGTGTGATCGAGATCTTTGTGTCTTCCACATCATCTCCTTTCTTCAAGGGAAATATATAGGCACATACCGGCGCGGATCTCCCCAGCTCCGCGTTTCTCACCTCACTGGCACATCTCTTAGGGCCTCAGTGCGGAGCTTGATGATCTCTTGCTGCATCCGTGCAATCTCATGGCGGTCCTGACGGCCGGAGATCCAGCTGGAGGCCTCTCGGAAGAATTAGAACATAGACCAAAACTCATTGGTGGGAGGTCTCCCTATTCTAATGCACACCCAATTGCTTTGTTTCTACCACAAAGAATCCCTCTGAAATGATTGGGAACATCGAGAGCTCGAGCATCTGTGAGCACGTGACTCCTCTGGAGGGTATGGCACGGGATGGTCCTATTTTCGGCCAGAAGGACATGAGCTTGTCGTAGGACATTTATAGTATTTTATAGTTATAGTCAGTAGCCGTTCCGTGTGCATCCTTGATGATAGCAACTCTATCCCAAAACCAGGCAAGACACATCATCACTCCTTTAGGCTGACAAACACTTCTCTTGCTCTCATGGCACCCAGGAGTTGCCCACTTCTGTTGCACACGTGCACACGATTGCACTCGGAAGCGTCACAGTTGTGCCGGATGATGTGCAGTGAAACGGGAACACAACACGAAGGCAGCTTCGACTCCCCTCTCGTGAGGTTCCCCAACTTGTCATATGTCCTTTGTGGATCTTCGTGGTCCTTTTCCAGAACATGAGTAGACGCGAAACCGGAAAAAACTTGGCTCATGGCTGTTCTGAAACCCGGAAGACTTCTCCCACCTGGGCAGACTTCCCACGAGAAGTCTCCAACGAATCCACCAGCCGTTTGTATTGAGCCTGCAGCGAAAGCAGCTGGATGAAGAAAAACAGGGTGTGACATGACCTGCTTGGGGTCCCCTGATTGGTTACGTTAGTTCAAAGGGGTCACCTGCAAGCTGCAAAAAATTTTGGCGCCCCATTTGTTGGTTTGCACTGCTGTCCAGAACCTAGAGCTGATCTGTTTGCTAGGCTTGTCAGGGAAAAATTAGGAAAACACCTTGCATGTTTTCAGAAGTTGTCTGGCGTCTGGAAGACATTGAATGTCTGGATCGTTCCATGGAAAAAAACTCCTGCAAAGGTTCCACTCGCTTGCTCTGTGCGGTTTGGGACTTAGGCCTTTCGGGACAGTTCCAAACCTGTGGCTGTGGTGCAAACCGATGGTCAAAACCGATTGTCCGACACCGCAATGCGGTGACACACTTTGACAATTGGTTTTCAGTTACCTCTATTCCACGAAAAAAAGGATGAGGGAAACGCAGGGTGAAGCGGTCAGCACGTTTGACATGTTGAACAAGTGTTCATGCTGCGTGACTAGGTAGCCGATCGAATTATCGCCGTACATAGAAACCTGTTTTGGGATATAGCATGCAGAACCACCATGGAACCAAAAAGGAAGAATGGAGTCACAGCGTAAACAAAAGTGTTCAGCAGGTACGTGGAAGTGGCGTCCCATTTCCATATCCTCGGATACATCGCCAGCTTCGTTGACCAGGCGACGATGCACTGCCTCTTTTTAACCCCTAAGGGAAATTTAATAATTTGCAACGTGTGGAAACCTGAGAAACAGGTGGTAACACACACAGAGCCGATATCGACGCTCCAGAGATTTACTAGCCACCTAACAAGCATTAGAAAGAAAGGAAAGGAAAAGACAGAAAGAGCAAACGAAGAGGGCAAGAGAGAAAGATAGGAGTAGTTACGAGGCCCACTAGTTATGAAACCCTCTAGTTACTGACTACTTAGCCGAATGAATTAGGTGCAATAGTTAGCAAGCGGGACTTTAGTCTTAGACTGCCCGGTAGGAAAGACTAGGACAGGAGAAACAAAAGGAAAGGCACCAACACACACAAGTGTGTTGAGTGCGACTTCCTTCTGTTACCCTAATTAGCGGGTGGGATAAGAAGTGTGAATTCGCGTGCAAGGCGAAGGGGTTGTGTGTGGCTCTAAGGCACTGCCGTAAACGGCGCTCCCTTGACTAAAGCTTCACCTGAAACCTAAAAGCCCCGAGCAAAATCTCTAGAACCTTGAGAACACTGCTGATGCACAAGTCCGTAAGCCCGGCAGCGTCAAATCTTCGTAAACTCGGCAATTTTGTGGTCAGAAGATTCATGGGGTGAGACATTTAATCAGTAAGTGATAATCCAACGCGTGCAGAAAAAATGCTAAGTCGAAATGTGCTCCACGATGGTTTCGGCGCTCCCTTGCGGGAGATCACACCCTGCACCCAGTGGGACGACAGAGCGGCACACACTTTGACAATTGGTTTTCTGCTACCTCTATTTGACGCAAAAATGGATGAGGGAAACGCAGGGTGAAGCGGTCAGCACAATCGAAATGTTGAACAAGTGTTCATGCTGCGTGACTGCGGATTCTAGTTACTGAGTACGTAGCCGATCGAATTATGGCCGTGCATAGAAACCTGTTTTGGGATATAGCATGCAGAACTTTGCAGAACCACCATGGAATCAAAAAGGAAGAGTGGAGTCACAGCGTAAACAAAAGTGTTCAGCAGGTACGTGGAAATGGCGTCCCATTTCCATATCCTCGGATACATCGCCAGCTTCGTTGACCAGGCGACGATGCATCCTGCTTGATCCCCTGCCTCGTTTTAAACCCTAAGGAAAATATAATTAATTTGCAACGTGTGGAAACCTTAGAAACAGGTGGTGACACACACACACATGCGACTGAGGTCGTAGGATGAACCCCCATTGGAGACTGGATCATGAAACCAGAACTCAGGCCTTCTGTTCATGAAACCCCAAGGACCAAAAAGGACTGAGAAATGCACTCAAAACGCTGAAAAGACCGCGCCTGCAAATAGGGCCGTACATCTCCAATGGTCACCTGACCAAGAGGTGGGAGGTGCTCTATCGGACAGCGCAAGCGCTTGAAGGATTTGATCTCAAATGATCTGAACATATCTGAACACATCCCACATGTGAAATTGCCTGGCTAGTTTCTGCAGGGAACAGCCGCGTTCGGCTTCTTTCAAGCTGGTGCTCTTTTCATAACAGCTGGTTCTCACACTGGGCAAGCTTGGCTACGAACAATACAAGTGGCACAAAACGGCACAACAAATTCAACCAGGCAAATGCGCGAAGTCCGCATTGTGATACTTTAAGTGCAAGAGCTGCAAGAACAGAAGAATGGCCAATCCCAGAGTCAAACAACCTCGGGGGAATCTGATCCCAAATAGCTGGAGGTCCTCGCTTTCCCCTTCCATATTGACTTTTGGCATGAAGGACTTCGAGTGTTGCCACTGCACTTCACATACCAGAATGTTGAGCAATGGCCATCAAAAAAAATACATTCCCGGCCGAAGTGAGTGCGCCAGTGCGACCCCACAAGCACCCGAGTGCGACTCCACGGGCCACCTCCTCGCTGTGTCGCAAGGTTTCGATCACCAGCAGCAAAGGCATCAAATCGCTGTCCTGTCATTTGGACGAGGCTAAGTCGATGGGATGTAAACATACTGTATGTAGACCATCAAGATTTGCCTCTCAAAGCCACGCTGGCGCTTCAGAATGCTTGACAACTCACAGACCCCTCCAAAAATTTGACATGCCTGATTTTCAAGCTGCCAATCAATGATTTGCGACGCTGCTGGCCCTGTGAAGCCTGTGTGCTCATATTTTCTGACAAAATAGGCAAGTACAAGAACACAGAGTTGATAGATGTTGATAGCAAGGAGGGAATTGCCCACCCGACACCTACACAAAGCCTACATCTTTCCTAATTAACTTCAAGAACACAGAGTTGATAGATGTTGATAGCAAGGGATCCTCAGCGAATTGCCCACCCGACACCTACACAAAGCCTACATATTTACTAATTAATTACACGAGCGGCCTTTATATTAAGTAAATATTGGTTGTGTTGGGGAGCATCTTCAATTGAGCTGATTCCAGCTACACTAACATGAGTTGAATGGATCAAAGGCTCAATCTGGTGGATTGGATCAAACTTGGTGCCTAGGTATGCCTTGGTGCGTATGCCACAGTACTCATCAAGCTATACACCGCCCACTCGTTTCATAATCACTGTGCATTTTTACTCGTGCCGAGCAAGGAAGCAAATACAAATCCATACACATATCCTAGACCATGGTAATGCACATATTCTTCATTGCAACAGTACAAACAAAGTTGCTATCAACTGAAAGGTACCAGGTCGTCAGAAGCCTATCCTTGATCCCTCACGGAGGGGCCCCTCCTCGATGTGACGCAAGACCTCCTGGATCTCTTCGAGGTGACGTCCACCACTCTCTGGAGAGGATAAGAAGGATAAGGCCTGCAGGAGGCAGCTTGGGCTGCAATTAGGTCGGTGGATGGAGGCCATTGCTATTTTTAAACTTCTACTTTAGTACAAAGTGGGTGTTCGATCAGCTACTTGGGACACTTGAGCTTTCGATCCAGTGCTTTCACTATGATTCATTCTTCTTATCTAAAGTGTTTTTTTTATCTAAACTGTAGATGTCCCTGTCCCACAATGCCCAGCTAACATGTTTCCTTTGCGTCCATTAAGCCAGATTGATGCCCCTGATGGCCTGGACCCAAAGGCTCTGGTCAGCAGGCCCACAGCGCTTGCACACGTCCAGCAAGCGCTTAGCATCCTGTGAAGAAGCGTGGAGCTCAGAAGTGGTAGAACATGCAACCCTCCACACTGGTTATTTTTTCTTATCAAGTTTTAACATGCTCCAAGGTCTGTTGGTGCTAATGTGAATTGCTCTTGGTTTGGGTGGATTTAGATAAACAGATACACAATCACCTCACAAACTCGACCCGAGTGAATCAAAGCTGCAAGAATCAGTTGTTGCTGACCCGCAAGTGACTTGCAGAATTGATCTGGGAGCTTTCCTGTTTTGGAAAAAACCAGGACCTCTCGACGAGTCAGCTAAAACCTTCAAACCACCAAGGAACACGTGTCAACTTCGATCAGGTCGACCACAAAGCTTCGATCAGCCTTGTGCTCAAAACACCATTGCATCAGCAGCTGATGGCGATGAAGCTTCTCTGCTGCATAGAAAAAACCGTCGACAAAGCCGTAGGTCCTCAGCGTGTGTGTTTTTTTCTCTTCTGTTTGTCGTGGTACCACTCTTGCTGGAAACACGTCTCAAAGAAATAAATACCCTGCCTTAGACTTGACGAAATATACAACTTGCCGATCTACTTGAGGGCCACAACTATCGCTTTGATCCATGGATACAGTAAGCTGAATCCATTAACAACAACGAGCAACAAGGCCAAGCCTAGAAGATGCCGCTTCTGAGAAGCAACATTCCTTCTTCTCCACAAGTGGTCACAAGCATGTCATTCCACTGCAATTCCCATGCAACCTCTATCAAACAAACATGACCCATGCAACGCAGAATTGATGTATTATATACGTACCGTATGATATATATATATTACTATATTACTATATTATATAAAGAGGTGCGATAAATAAACCAATATCCTTGCTGTTGCACCAAGAAGGTCCTGGGCTTAAGTCCCTCACTGGCACACCATCAAAGTATTGGCCAAGGCATTCTCGCTGGGGTACCTTGGGGTCAGAACAAGACTGTCAAGCAGCTCAAGCTGGGCAGGATGAGGTCCGCATGGATCAACTAGGCTCACCCAGCTTGATGTGGTATCCTACTTGCCCCCCCAACAAGCGTGGTCGTGGGCAACTTCCCCGTGTTCCATCTTGAAGAGAAGCTGGGAAGAGAACAGCGATGTCCCTTCGGGAAGAATAGAGGGGTCAGCTTGGTGCCATTTACCTATTGGTTGTACACTTGGGGGTATCCCCCCTTTTTGAATCAACCGACCATAGCCAACGAATAAGAAAAGGCCATCTATGAGAAAATCTCAAGTGTGCGGGTCTTGATCTATGAGGTCCAATGGATGAACACTTGACAAGACCAAGACGATTGTGCAACGACCATTTTGTTGCTTTCTTCCGAGTATTGTCTAACCCTGTTATACCCTGTTGGATCAAACATTCCAGTGTCCTATGTCTTCTTAAAGCTGCTTGTCAAAGGACATGCACACTCGTAAATGACGCTGATAAGCGCACAGCCAGGCCCCGCTTCAACTCCCAAGTTGCTGTCGTATAAGCCGCATGATATCAGCGGATATCTGGGCCTTTGAACTCAGACTGATTGAAGGGCATAGTTAGCAAAGTTGCAGGAAACCAAAAACATACAATAACCGTAAACATAAAGTTCATCGAGGAGTCATAAGGAACATGTCAACAATCACTATCAATATGTAGAAATGTTTTGGGAATGTGACAAATGGTGTGTTATAGTTAATAAAGGATGTCCTACAACATCTACAACAAGAACACATACACGGAGATGGCACATAGCCAGAAGACAATCTTCTCTACAACCACTGCCATTCTTCACAAAGTGTCTTGCACCATTCCCCCGCTCAAAAAACCCTACTAAACACGTAGACGTACATGCTGTAGATGATTTGAGATGACTCGCCTTCCGGTATGTTTTCCTTCTTCACAGAAAAAAAGCGATCAACTGCTTCAATCGATTATAATAGCCTATGTCTAAACAGGTGGGGAAGCATCTTCACGCAGTTTGATGCCAACAAGATCCAACAAGCGTCTTTTGGTTGAACAGGACCCAGGTATACCTGCCAGTGCTGACCTTCCATCTCTTCTACCCAGTCATGAACCAATCTCTACCCTTGTTGACTGGCCCCCCCCTTCAGCCTGCTCACCATCAACAGCACTGTATGATTTGACCTTAGTGTGCTGGTCCATACGCCAGGCTAGGACGTTTATTCTCACGCAAAACAAGTAGTGTCATAACAAGGAGAATCAACTTCAGCGGCGCGTGTCTCATGTGAACGGCGCTACGTTTGGGCCCAGGCGAGCAGTTCCAGGAGTGTGGGGAAGAGTCGCTCAGCCTGTGCTAAATACGAAAACAAACGTCACAGTCACAGCCTGTGAATGTTTCGCTGGTTGCATGCGCGTGAAACATCAAAATCCCCTGGAGACAAAGAGACGAAGAGAATCGAAGAGACGGGCGGGAGACTATTCGGGATATGCCAGTCTTGTTGCACTCCAGCCACTCTTGTCCAAGTAGAACACGATCTTGTTGGAGCCCATCGTTAGTAGGGTGGAGGCCATCACTATTAGGTTGGAGGCCATTGCTAATAGGTTGGAAGCTAACAAAGACTCACATGTTGGGCCTCGCCTTGGCTGGTGGCAGTTGACAACCCTCATCCAGCAGCACGGAGCGAAGGAAGACCTGCAAAGTTACAGCCAGTGAGGGGTCTGGTGAAAGGTCTCAAATGTTGGCTTTAGAGCACATACACGAGCAGCAGGGTCAGAAAACCAATCACCCAATCCAAGATTGGTGTCTTGGAAACAAAGTTGTAAAAGTAAAGACTGGTTTGTGATCAGTTTCTGTTACACAGGCAAATTGATTCATTGATTTGTTTGTGCAAGGTCAACTCAGTTGTGTTTCCAGCCTTCCAAAAGTTGGCTAGCGTCTTCTATATACTGTATGTTCTCTGTTGAACGGCGGGGGATATCTGTGGGTGTCCAGCGGATCAGATGCATGGCATTGACCACGACCTGTGGGGGTAATATATGTATATATATATTGTGCGAGGGCCTGGACCATTTCGAACACTCTACATCCAAGGTGCTAGAATAGGGGCGTGTCATCCTCCAATTATGGAAATTGAGGTCAACTCACAACTATAGTCGACTATAGTCCTCAATCTAATAAGTGCCCCAAATCATCAATGTCCAGTCTGGCAGATGTGCGAACATTGAAAATACTCAGATGTGATCACTCATGTTTTACATGTTCAGTAGATGATAGATTGACATCCAGAAAATACAGGCCTGGGGTTCCCCCCAATCGACCTCCCACGCAAGCAAAACTGCCTCAAGCTGAGATTCGTCATCCACCTGAGTAGCAGAGTTCCATCGAAAAGTCAGGCAAAGTCCATTTTGACTCAAAACATCTTACATCATCTTACCATTGTTCATCGTCATTATGTGATTGTTCATTGTTCACAAAGTCCATCTTACGAATGTGTCATTGTCATTGCTCAAGCCTTCAATATGAATGCCTTGCAGTTCTAAATGAACGCAACTCATGCAGTACTCCAATCATGCAGTGAGAAATCATTGTGCCTGTTGAAACAAAGATCTTGCTGTTTACAGCAAGCCGTGAGCCTTGCAACCCCACAAAGTTGTCTGTGATTGGGTTTCAGCCAGTTCTGTATTTTGGAAGGAACCTCTGTTGACTCCAGGCTTCTAATCATTCTCCCAAAGGGATCTTGCAGCTCTGTCATTCTTTCTTCTGCGGGATAGATTTGGGACATACCTCTACACGGGAGTCTCGTCTGGGTCCGTTGAATGGTAGGTGCATGTATATGACCGCACATGGCTTCCTCAAACTACGGACCATCCAGTGTCCCATCTAGGGCAGCCGGCTTCCGATTTCGCAACATGAAAGCTGGGACAACAACCCGCCAAGTCATTCGACAGCTCGAGGTTTAGGGATGTTCAAAGAGTTGCTCTTGGCTTTAGGGAAGCTGCGAAGCATGCCGGTGCGGCTGTTGCCGACAGGGTGCAAACAACGCGCAACAGGAAGCTCTTTGTGTAAAGACTGAAACCCACCCAATCCTGCCAAAGTGCAAAGACTGGAAGCAGTTCATCGATGGATGGGCCTTCGGTGCACAAAGAGAAGTGTCATTTTGCACATCCTCAGTGGGAAGACTCCAGTAACACAAGAATTGAACCTGATTGAAGAACAGTTGGTGGCCAAGCATTCTTGTGGAAGGCAATTTATATTATATATATAATCGATTATAATCGCAATTCTTTCGAGGACCTATTCCACATTCGTCAATTCACAAGCTGCTCCATGCAAAGTGCTCACAGAAAACGGATTCACACACCTTGAGGATCATCCGAAGCCTCAGTCGTGGAATCAAAAGCCTCTTGTAGCGCAAAACAGGCAATCGCACAAGAACTTACACCAGACTATTGGAAGCAATACAGCTATTTCGGAATGGACATTACATGAAATTAGTAGGAAAACACCGGGCAGTTCTGGTCTTGCCAACTGCACTGGGGAGACTATATTTCTCGAATGAAGAAGCACCAACGTCGACAACAGCGTTTCGTGAAACAACTTGCTTTGCAGTGCTTTGCACCTGTATTTGACGTGAAACTCAAGAGCATCAGCATTAGCATCAGCATGTACCCCATTTACAACGTCAGATCGTTGATCTGTTGTTTAACGAACAAAGCTCTTGGCCATCGGCCTCGCACACCTGACGGACCAGTGCGATGGTCTCCTGGCAGAAGATAGCTGGGAAGGTTGGGCCACCTGACTGTGCGTGGAACACACCATACGACACAACATACCGTACCTTTTTACATGAAACTGTATAAGGGACACATCGTAATATGTACATCCCGTGCCCTCATTGACTCATGGATGTAAGCTACCTTGTTCTCTACTGGTGGCACCCACTCCAAGCGCACCAATCAACGCGTATTCCGCTTTCTGAGGTGGGCCTATGGATTGGTTTGACTTTCAAGCAGTTCAAGTTCGGTGGGGAAAGATACTTATATAACTACTTGTGTTTTCTTGTAATCGGTTCTCCGTCCTCTTGTTGCTTGTTACTGCAAAAAGCGACCAAAGAACTCTTGAAGGTATCCCAACATGGTCCCGAATGGCTTAGAAAGGTCGGCGTATGATAGCTGGGCAGTGCAAAGATTAAAAGCAGGTGCCAACATAGAGCCACAGGTGGAACAAATGCTTCATGATGAGACTACATTGATTCTGAACCAAACTTTAGCAGACTCGCATGAACACATGTGGCTGGAAACAGCGACAAAGCTCCAAGACTTCCGTCTTGGAAGCTGGAAGTCCATACTCGTGAGGCTACTAAGCCATGTTAGTTCTGTCTTCTGTTGAAGTAGATGAGCTTCTGCCCAGGATACGTCTTAGACTTCACAAAGGCCTACCTACCTATTAGCCTGATAAGAAGCCCGCTGCCAGCAGCCAAAAGGTCAGCTATCCATGGGTTTGTACACTTAAAGGCGGCAAACAAGTAGGCGTATAAATAGATACGCTTGGTTGTTGAGCGTCCGAAATGGTCCCGGAAAACTGCATATATGATCAGGAGGTTTTCACGTGCCATGATTGGTCCCACACAAGACTCGCCGTGTCGGTTGAAAAAACCAAGGTCTTGTTCGCATCTTTCTCCCTTTGCCTTTGCCTGGGTTTCTCTGGCCATGATGCTGGCGCATGGCGCTAGTCAGCTTGGTTCCCCCCCGGTTCGTCGGACCCGTGGCTCCTTCGGTGCGTGCCGCATCAGAGCACGACCCCGCTGAAGGAGGATTCTCCCAGCCTCGCGAGACGGGTGAGTGGAGACCACTTTTTTTCTCCGAAAAAGACTGGTGGATTTAGAAGGGACTCCACTGAGCAAATTTTCGGGTCAGAGATGAACCTTTTAGAATTGGACTTTGGGGTCCACCCGATACCGTTTTATAGGCCCTTTGGCACGCGGATGGAGATGGAATGGTACGGATCGAGATTAAAGCTTTCAAAGGGAAGTCCCACAACACTTTGCCTTTGGAATTGCAAAATGTAGAGGAGCGAACATGAAAGTACAGTGGGGGGGTGCAAACCTGAAAGCTGAGCACGCGAAAAAAACAAGAAAAAACGTAGTTCTATGATGTCTATAACAATCCCAAACATGCAAATAGGTGAAGCAACAGAATTGCGCAACAAAATGCAGCAAAGCTCGCTCGTGCCACTGCACTTTGATTATAGCAACACATAAGCAAAAAGAACTGAGGAATTTGCTTCAACTCCTCAAAGTGGTCGTGCAATTGGCAAGTCAAACTAGTCTCTGTACGAATCCTTATCTGTAAAACAATCCTACCTGCTTAAGAGCAAGATGGCCCAAAACACAGCGCCCACTTCGGCACATCTCTCCTCTGCTTTGGGCAAAGAATGTAGGAACTCCACAGTGGCGCTGCAGTTCTTGAACCTTTGCGACTTCTCGACTCCCTGGACTCAACATGACTCCCTCCACCACAACGGGAATGACCACTCCAAATCCATGTTCCATGTTGGAAGCTCACCTGTTCCGATCAAACACACCAACAACAAATCCCACAAAGCTATCCTAGCTCTTTCTTTCTCTATTGGACTTGACATGGCACTGTGTTCTGTTGCTTTTGGAGTTCAGAAGGCATTGGAAAGCTGCCCACTCGTGGTCTTTCGAGGGTTTCATGACGAAGAGAGTGCTGCACACGTTCAATCGACCCAGACTCCGCAGACCTCACAGCCACGCCGAGATTCTGCTCCAAAGAGATCCGTACGAAGTCATCAAAGCGGCCCACCTCTTGAAATAAGGAGGCAGCCGAGACAGTAGGTACGGTTTGTCAAGCGAAGCAAGTAAACCAGGTGCAGTGCAGGCGTAGCAAATAGTGTGGGTCTATAAACCTAAATCTTCAAAAAAGCTCCTTGTGGAGTCCTTCTGCCTACCTGAGGCTTGGCAACATCTCCCATACAGCATTGATTCGATCCAAGTCATTTTGCAAGCCTGGATGAATCATGATGAATCTGATTGATTTGGACATGCTGCTCATTACTCATCCCACAGAAAGGAAGGAAAGAAAGCACCTTGACAAAAGGAACCTGCAAAGGGCGCTGTTTCGGCTGTTTCCTTGCTTCGGTCGGCTGTTCGCCATAGCGCCACTGCGACCTTCGGAGCCTGCTTCAGGGATACCCATCCGGTCCAGCCTTGCGAGCCACCTCTGAGGCCAAGCCATAATAGGACGCAGATTCCAAAACCTGGCGTCTCCGAGAGCTTTTAGCGCGTTGCCCTCACCTTTTGCTCAATTCAGTAAGGGCTGCGGCTAAGGTAAGAGCTACCTACTGGACGCAGGATAGCTCACGCACTATTCATTTGGTTCCTAGATTTTTAGAAAACAAACATCTCTGCCCACAGCACAGCACTGACAATTGGGGAGTGCAACTGCCCAAATGTGGCAAATCTCAGATTCCTTTTCATCAGCACAAGGATCACCTCACTCTGTCAAATTCAGTCACCAGCCTCAATGGCAGTCGCATGGTCATACTGGGAAGGAGGCGTCGTCTCCAAGAACTCCTTGCACCCACAGATCCACACACTGGGTGCTGACTACCCACATCTACCCACTCTGAGGTGTGCAGGCCATAGAGCAGTTGCAAAACTTGGTTGTTCAAACGCCAATGGGAGAGAAGGGTGCATTGCGAAGAATTGAACGCTGGCAGCGAGAATGTCAGGTGTCACGGTGTCACCGCATGAAAACCAATTCACCGGGTCACCGGGATCTATTTTTTCGGCCCTCAAAAGGATTGATGCATGCAAGAAGGACCCAGGAGGTCGTGGTAGAGGGACTCACGAAACCAAGAGATCTAGCAAGCCGAACCCGAAAGACCACTGGATTTCTTCCAAAGCTCAGTCATATTCTTTGCAAAGCAAGCGCTCCCTGAAACAAGGGGGGGAGACCTCAGGTCTCATGGTCGCTGCAGGTAAGATGTGAGGCTTCCTTCAGGATTATTTCTTCCGACACTCCTCCAGGGTGGAGAAATCCTTGAGCTTTGTATAGCACTTCAGGAGCAATGCCGTGTGTTCTGCTTCAGCCATCTCCTGCAGGCAAAGGGGCAACAGCAAGCCGGTTTCAGCACGGTAAATGCTGAGCTTTTGTTGAGCAGTTAGTGATGATCCATCCTAGTATATAATCGCAGCTGGTCAAAACCAAGCCAATCCAAAGGCTTTACATATACTGTATACATCTGTATAAAGTCTGTATACATTGACTGATCGACTGAGTGCCACACACGTCATCACATGCCTGAACTACTGTAAACTGTAGATTCTACATCTCTAGATTCTGAAATAATTTTAGATGCTGGGGTGCGTCCAACCCCTTCGGTCATTTTCAGCGGCCTTCAGCCTGCTGAAGAGGAATCTAACAAACGAACTCCCCACAAGATCTTGGATAAACTATACATATCTATAGTCTCCGAAAAGGATCTCAATCCGGATCTCGGATGTGTCTAGAAAGTGCACCATCTACAAACCAGCTGTTGCAAATCACAGAGTGAGAATGTCCAGTAATCCTCAGGGTGTTCTCTTCAGCATCTGTACAGTTTAAAAGGATCCAAGCTTGCAGATTGGGAGCCACGAACTCTTCACATGTTTCGATCCATCCTCTTTTTTGGATCCTTTGGATGCTGGGATTTTCCAATTCTCCCAGAATCGGCCCATTGGCCGGTTCGACACATGCCCGGTAGCGACATAGTGCCGCCAGGACGATCAGCAGGGAAAAGTGGCCAACGAAACGTTGGTGTTTCAAATAAATTTATTCTCTTTACGAAACAGCCGCGGTGTTGAAGATGAGGGCCTGGCAAGTTTTTGTTGAACTGGTGAACACGCCAAGAAAACATGGTGAAACACTACAGGGACTGATGTATCAGGACACCTAGAACATCCTGGACCCGAATGGATCTGAGAAAAGGTAGGTAGCATGGGCATGGTGAAGGGACGGGAAAAAGACTCGCTTCGATCAACAGCTATCACGATGATTCTATAGTTGCTTTTTGGGCCTCCGCCCTGATACCGAGAGCCTCCAACCAAAGAGCGATGGCCTCCAACCTACTAGCTATAACATCCAACCTAATAGCGATGGCCTCCGACAGAAGAGCGATGGCCTCCAACCTAATAGCTATGGCATCCAACCTAATGGCAATGGCATCCAACCTACTAGGTATGGCATCCAACCTAATAGTGATGGCCTCCAACCTACTATATAGCTATGGCATCCAACCAAAGAGCGATGGCCTCCAACCTACTAGACTAGCGATGGCCTCCAACCAAAAAGCAATGGCCTCCAACCCAAAAGCAATGGCCTCCAATATGTTGTAGGCTGTTCAGGTGTTGTTGCATATCTCCCTATCGATCCTCATACTCCTCGGTCACACAACTTCCGCAGGCCTCGAGGCTGCTACGCACCGTCTCCTGTGCATCAGGATTGTGCGCCCGGTCCTCGACAGCTGCGTCAGGTTCCACCACACATGGCCCACTGGTCCAGCGTTAAAAGCACCAACAGAGTCTACCGTGATGTGTGTCAGCAATACCTCGCATACTGCATCCTACAAAACACTCTGTCCTTGTGGATTTCGCTGGGCTCGTTGCCCTGCTTCATCACATTTGGGTATCATTTAGGAGAGTGAGAGTCGAGTGTCCATTAAGAAACAATATCACAATGGGGAACAAGAAGCTACTAGGAGAGTGTCCATTAAGAGTTGCCATGCAACACATGTGAGCTCACAGGTCCCGAGTGTCGAGGAAAGGACCGTCGTTTGCAACCCCTGACTGCACCTCAAAAGACTTCCCCCCTGCATGTAGTGAGAAAAGCCGTTTGTCAACAAATCGAGAAACCAAAAGCTCCTCCATCTGTTGGTTGTCAAGTTGTTTTCTGAATAATTTTCAAATATTTTCAATGTTCGTTCCATCTATTCCTGATTCTTCTGAATGTATGTATACAAACACCTCTTGTGCACATCACAGTGCGGGTCAGCTCACCCAGTGAAATACCATTTGCAACATTTTAGAACCCTTCTATAGCGTCCTTGTTCCTAAGTAGCGATGCCCTTTGCTCCTAGTAGCCTTCTTGTTCCTAGTAGCGATGCCAGGAGCCCCTAGTAGCGTCCGATCGCTCCTAGTAGAATCCAAGAAAGCAAACGTTGAAAACGGAACTCGCGAACTCACCAGCGGCCCGGCCCGGGGGGTCTTCGTTCGGTCGGTAGTTCTCGTTCGACGCGCCCGACCCGTCCTGCAAACAAAGACCTTGCCCCGTGCCTGGCAAAGCTCCACCTCAGCTTACAAGAAGCTACCAGTAACGGCATCACTACTAGGGGCAAGGACGCTACTAGTAGCTCCTGGCCTTACTATTAGTACTACTAGTAACAAGAGGACGCTAGTAACAAAGGGCGAGGGTGTTTTCGGAGAGCAAATGGGTTTGTATTTTTGTTGACGTTCCCGGGCCTGGATGTTTGACGTTCCCGGGTATGCTTCGGGGGTATACTTTGCCTAAGTCGAACATCCCTGCCAGCCCTGCATAAATTGGACACACACAAAAATAATATGGAATATGGACCCCTAAAAGACTTCGAGGTGAAACCCATTGAAGCCCCTCTAGCGGCTGTCCAAATGGGTGAATTTGTTGAGTAATTCGCCCAAAGTAGAGATCTGAATTTTGGAGGATAAGTATGGAATGGACCAAAGCATGATCAGCTTTTTTGCTGGCAAATGGTGATAGGTCTAGTGGAGAACGATGAAAGCCGATGGAGATACACACCTAAAGAATAGCATCCAGCCATGTTAGATTGGAGATCATTGGAGTGCTTTCAGGGGCCAATACAGGTAAATAATTCACACGGATTCTCAGGAATACAAATTGCTCACAAGCCTTTTGAGTACCAAGGTACGAATCATATTCTAATTCTTTACTAACACACACTTCTCAGTGAGGGGAACTTTACCGATTCGGATTGGAAGACGCGTGTACTTCTGCAGATCTAAAGATTGTGACCAAGATTCGCAAAGCTTCCAGCAAGCCCTCGACATAGCGGATTGGCAAGTGGTCATGGAACATGTGTGTGCTGATATAGAGCTCCTCAGTGACGCAACCAATCGCTTGCCTGCTTCTTGCTGGCACCATTGGCTCTAACAGCTCTAACGTGTTTTCATCATCGCAATGAACATGCATGAGGATCCACTTGGATATGTCTCATTACGCACGAATACCAGCCCTGCATTTTGTTGGAGATAGAACTACACAGAAACATCATATGAATCATATGAACTGCTTCTACGAAACACCTTTGTGGTTGAACCACCTCAACAAGAAGACTCAACATCCCAAACATTACTTCCACAAGGTCCAAGCGGAGTGTGTTGGTCCCCAAAGCCCAAACCCTTTGCATCACGCTCTTCTCCCAAGTCTCATGGTAGAAGCTCGGCAAGGACCTCAATTTATGCTCCCAGGGCGAGGCAGGGCTGGGATTTAACTCAGGAACAAAGATTCTACTAGGGGCTCCTGGCTGGTATGAACCATGCGTCCACTGACCAAAGCGATTCTGCCAGCAAGTGACAAATGTCACCACTTTAAGGCCATGGTGCCCAATAGACGTGTTTAAATGTTCTTCAATTATCATGCACGGGGCCAAACAGTAGTGAGATTCATTATGCCTTATGCATCATATATCATACAATGTATCATATCTGTTTTTTTCCGGTCAGTTCAGAATAGGAACCTGCAAAGCCATCAAAGGCAACTATGGGAGGGCACACAAACACACATCCCTCAGATGTAGGGACTGAATCAGCGACTAAAACACCGTTTGCTCTCCAATAGCCATTGATCTCAAAGGCAACTGAGATGAGAACTAGTGGCTCCGAAAACATCGGGGTTGTGCAGTCTTCCAAATGCGTTGTTTCACCCTTGGACATCGTATTCCTTTCCGAAATCCAAACTCACCTACAAATCACAACAATGCAGCGCCCAGCTTTTGGAAAGGTGAATTGCGCATGCCGTCCTATGCCATGACCACCTTCCGTCCCCTCTAAACATCCGAAACTTGGCTTCGAAACCCACGCCTAAGCCATCCATGCCTTACCCGTCCGTCCCGAGGTTCGGAAGAAAAAACGGGGTCGCTTCACTCCGAGCCACCAGAAGAGCTTCACTGGATGGGCTGTGAGCCCCACTCCGCGGCAGTCCATGTGCAGGAGGCGGCCCGGAGTACAAAGCACCTTGGAGCCGAAGATCTGGAAAAAACAGAGGCAATTGCCGCGCCGAACATCTAGCTTTGTTCATTGCGGTGGGACAAAGAACAAAGTCTTTCACCTCTGCTCAAAAACGATTAAGAGCAAAGCCCAATCAATCTGGAACTCTTGAGCTGCACACTGCACTATCATGGCCCAATGATAGCCAAGGACCACTTTTGCATGCTACAGTGAGGGTCCAACCCGGCGCATTGGCTGGTTATGAACCATCTTGGAGAGATCTACAAAATATAATGGTTCGGATTCAAAGATGGAACGTGGACTCCCAGTCTTTTGGTTGCAGTTATCACAAAAGCACTCAGTACCACTTTCTGGACATGCCAATAATCACAAAAGCAAAAAGCCGCTTTCCACCCACCACCCGTCCGATGAATCACAGTATTTTTTTGCCTTTTGTATTGGAACGACAAGGACTACCCTGGGAGCACCCTGCCTCGGCCACTTGTGAGGAAGCGCCAAAGGCTCGAGCTCTTGGGCTCAGATTGGGGGCTCCTGAACAGCTGAACGCAGCAAGCGATCGTAACGGAGAAGCGCGGAGAACTCAAAACACCCAAGCATGGAGAAGCGTGTGCTAAAGTGGACCTCGGCCAGCCCACATGGAATGAACAGTTGGTTGCGTGTGAACATGCCATGTGATAACATGTGCACACTTATAGCAGCTACAGTAGCGGGATATCAGTTTCACTTGACCCATCCTCAAATACTTCAAGATACTTCAAGTCTTCGGTGAGTTCACTGAAAACTCAAGATAAAGGAATAACTGCGTATAACACACACAAATCCCACAAACAAGCAGTGAATTCTCTTAGCAATCCTCTCGGGGCGAAAAATGACACGTTAACATAAAGAACGGTGGCTCTTAGTTACCTCAACAAAGATCTTCCAATGATGCATCACCTCTCTTGATAAAGTTACACACACTGTCACATGCTGTGGATACCCGCACCACCTACAAGATTCCCGTGTACAAAATAGGACCTCCCCGTTTTGTCTGAAACAGTACCTGTGGATCGGCCCAGTTGTACAGTACCTGTGGATCGGCCCATCTTCTGTCGAATCCATTGCTTCGCCATGTGCGCAGCGCTCCTCTCCTGCGCAGAGAGATACTGAGAGTGTCTAATTAGTCACCTCAGAGCTTCCATGGAAAACTGGAAGCAAACTTCAGTTAGCTTGGGCAATAAGCAGTTTACCAAGGCAAAACGCTGAGCAAAACAAGGCATCTGACTTCAGTATCCAAACAATATGGAGAGGTTCTGTCTGGATGGCGATGACAACTCGGGTGACCGTCATACTGCAAGTCTTTCTTCCTCGAATTCTTGGTCCAAAACTTGAAGGTCAACCGCATGGCGACAGCCACCAAAGAGATGGCACAAAGTTCCCCTTTCAGCAAGCCTCTTTCCTTCAAGCAGTTAAGCTGGCTGATCTTGAGACGCGTTTGGTACCGCCATCGGCCACGAGCACCGAGTTTCGACTCACCGCGTGCGCTTGCGTGTCCGTCAGCTGCAAAATTAAGCGGTCAATGCCGAACACCGACACACGGGTGATGTAGTCTGCATCCAAGGCAACCGAAAGGACCTGGAAGCGACAAACTTGCAGCGACAGCAACGGCAACCGTTTTTGTTGCTGCTTTGATCTGTGTTGATACCTTGCCCTGACGACGAGTCATTGGAACCAATAGGAATCCCCAAATGAGGCTCGAAACCTCTTCGCTTTCGAAGGGCTTCCTTCGACGACGGCGTTTATTGAACCATGGATTCCACTGATCTTCAAAGCTGGGGCAGCGGCATAGCTGGAGCAGCGGGCAGCCAGCTCGGGAGATACAATCCTCAGCCAGCTCGCTTAAGCCGATGACACCAGGATGCCCTGCAAATCAATGAACATGTGGATGAACCAAATCATCACCAATCAATACAGTACATCCAAAATCATCAAATCATCAATCAATCAGATCCAATCAGCATATGTATAAAAGATCATAAAAGCATCACTAACCATCAATCAGGGCTAATCCGCCCCCGACCTGAAAACTGGGCAAGAAACATTGAGACCTCAGATTCGGTTAGTCAGTCAGCAGGTTGGGAGATACTGTAATATCGAGCTATATCGAGCTCGTCGTCGTGGTGGTGGTGGTGGGCCGCCTTCTTGTTTGTAGTACGAGTCGAAAGTATTAGAAAGTAGAAAGTAATTTAACGGGCAGCTTAGCTTGTCAAATGGTAATCCTTTATCCTCATCATCCACCTGGCATTTCTGCAAACATCTGCAAACCACCTCTCACTTTGGATTGGCATCAACTTGAAATCGAAGGGATGGTTGGCCGGAGTAGTCGAGCTACGTCCTTGCGGTCAGATTTGGCTCAGGTTGTCATCTGCACTCTGACAAGATTCGGGGAGGCTCCAAAGCCATATGCAAATGCTTGGCACATGGCTTGTGGGAACTCAGGTGCTGCCTTAGTCGGTGGTGAGAGTCACTCATCACCTTACAGGCTCTCGTGCGTTCTCCCCTCTGACAACTGTTCGGATCTTGGAACTCGTCTTTCATCATCTTCCCTCCACACTTGTAGGGTGTGAGATGTCTCTTTGGAGGAGTCATCTTCCGAAAACATGACTTTCATCTCAACTGACTCACAACTCAGCTCCTCACAGCCTTCGCACTACCCACGATGTAGCCTCGATCCACCGGTTCGACGTTCAAGAAGGAGTCCAAAGCCTCGCAAGCGGTTCATCGGCCCGAGACGTTCTATGGCTGGCCCGGTGATCGGGTCGGCGACCTCTTTGAGTTCATTCAGCCGAACATGTCGAACTCATCACTAGTCATTACATATCACATATAATCCTGGATTTGCATGATGTTACATCTCGATACTTCATGTTATGTTATGGCTAAAGGTGGATTTCCACTCAGCTGTGCAGCTGTGACCAAACCAGCAAAGTGCCTGTCCAAAAATATCAACAACTCAAGAATGTTCAACAACCATGCAGTTGCACAAAAAGAGTAGTACATGAGTCTCCTGACCATTCTTGACCCTTTCAAGTGCGGGCCTCCATTTCACTGCATGGACCCAAGCACTTGGGAATGTCCGTCGTAGAGGTGTCCCCTTCTCGAAGCATGATAGCCACCTGAAACCACACAGGGTTAGTAGCATCTGCACAGTTTTTTCTCCATAACCACGTCTGATACTTACATCCAGTGTTCAGGCTGTTCCGGGGGAAAAGCGAAGCTTGATGGCTTCGTGAACGAAGCTTGCTCTGCGTTCCATACATCTTCATGCTGCCAGCGCCACCAGCTGGGCCACGTCAGCCCCCAGCGAGTGGCCCGTGCACACCAGGCGATAGCTGGGCCGCTGGGCGAGGCCTTCGGCCATGGCGGCGCCGGCGGAGCTCAAGATCCACCTGCCGCGGAGACCATACTGAGCGAATGGCCCAACAAACTCCCAGTTTCAACCGTTTCACACAATATCTCATCTGATTGATTTGATACATAGATCCACAAAAGTTTCCACACAAAGGCCACATGAACTGATATGAAAAGAAGCTCCTTTCCCCTTCGAACCTCGGCTACCCCGGCCTGGCAGCGCGCGCCATGCCGCTGTGCGCCAAGCCGCCCGCCAGGAGGCTCTCTTCGGCGGCCATGTCGGTGAGCACTGCCGACCACTCGCAGGAGCCACGCACGGCCAGCACCAGCCTCTCGGCCGAGCTTGGAGGGAGTTCGTGGGCTCCAGTGTAACCAAATGAGTGTTAGGTAAATCCGGCCTGCGCGTGGGATTTTGCTTTGAAGTCTCTGAACACAGGCATTGGCATCCGCTGATATCAACACCCCGCGGTCAAAGACTCAACTCATCAAAAGGGTGATGAAGCGAAGCAGTTGATGTGCGTTGGTCTAGTCTCTTGTTTTCTGCTTGCACCTCTTTTATGCTGAGGTGCAGTAGAGGTGATATGCATCTAAGTCCACCTTCGCCTAGCGCCTGTGTTATAGGTGAAACATCGGCCTAACTCAATCTCCCATCGCCCGGCCAGCTCATTCGATGCACCCAAAAGATCACAAAGGCGGGCTCGAAAGGCTTCTCAGTCCTTGTGTGTGTGTGTGTGTGTGTCAGGTCAAAACTGCTGCGACTTCCAGAAAACTCTCATAGAAAACCAACGAAAACACCTGAGAACTTGAGAGGCCAGCTGGAGGGTGACACGGCAATCCACCTCTTGCCGCCAAAATGTTGCTCCAAGATGCTCCAAGCCCAGGAGGGAAACAACATCGCACACGTTTGCAAACTCAGGGCAGGGTGGCAGGACGCGATGCTTCGCACTAAGTCCTAGACTGCCGTTTCCAAAGATTTGTGGCTTCAAGACAAACAACACCCATAATAGTGTCTTAGAGAAATCATCCTACAATGCTGAGATGCTGAGATTGTGCTCCTGCACTCTCCTAGGTCCTAGAGGCTTAGCAACTTCTTGCCGAAAACCAAACCCAGGCAACCACCAAGACTCCAATGTGCCACCAGGATGTCTTCCCGCTTGGCCCCGGTCAACTCCACAAAGGCCTGAGCCAGCTAACTGGTCTGTTGAACATATCAGAACGCCTGTTTTGGGTCCTTGTTCACATCTTGTTTGAACTGAATAAGTGAAGTGGAAAATCAAGCCTATACCCGCTCCCAAACATTGAGAAACCTCTCATCCTGTGCTCCTATGGCCTCATCCTGTGCATGAGAAGCTAGCAAAAAAAACACCTGCTGTCCCCAAACCAACCAACCCTCAAGTTCCCCTCCTCCACTGTTCTCAAGGCGATCCTAGGCAATTCGTCAACTACACAGCTTTCGGCAACCGCCCCACCTCAGTGTGATCCTCATCCTCCCACGTGCCGGCATAGGACTTTGCCGCCCCACCCAGGAAGCCGCTCACGCGATCCCCTGCGCCCTCGGTCGTAGGCCGGATTGGTCGCAGGTTGGTCCAGAAGCTCGAGGGGCGTACGCTTAGACTGAGGAAAAGGATGGAAAACGAATAAGCCTGAATAAGCTACTAGTTAGCAGCTGTTAGGTACTAGACACGCTCCTAGGCAGGATGCAGGATAGCTATGGATAGCTCACGCTTTTTCAGGGAATCTTCCCCCACCGCCCTCGCACTATTCATGTGGTTACTAGATTTTTAGGGAAACTTATATAGAACAACGTCCAAATATATTATATGGAAAAAGCACACGTGGAAACTGTCGAAACTGAGTAGTTTGACCCTTGGATTATGATGTCCTCCCAATCAGTTCCATGTTTCACTATGCTCCACATGAATCTTTAGACATCTATCCGACAGCTGTCGCACACAATTGGAACATGTCTAGCTTCACCTGCACTTGCACCACACGCGGTGAAATCTTTGCATATCTTTGCATGAACGTGCTGCTGCAGCGAACCAGTTTCTTTCCGTACTTCAGGGCCCGTGTAAGTGATGCAGCGAACCATCTAGAACCTTCTCACCATTTCATTCAGAAAAAATGGCCGTGGAGAAAACCAACAAAAACACGAGTGAAACACTGGGATCTCACCGACCGAGCGCTGCACGCGGAGAGTCTCCCACCTTCCGCATCAGCGCTCCGTAGGCCGCGCGAGCGAAGACTGCGGCGAGAGCTGCACGCGGGAGGAAGCCCTGAGGACGGTCAAGGACGAGGCGCCGTAGAGGATTTCTAGAGGGCTCCAACGTGCAATTAGGAACCATGGGCTTCTTTAATTGGACTCTATGCCTTTTTTTAGATATATTATAGAGAGATGTAGATATAACTATAGACGTGTTGCTTTTGCGTGTTAGTGTTTGCCAAGCTGAATCAGTGTTATTTCCGGCGAAAGAAAAGCTCTAACAGTGCCTTTTCCATAAAAAGAGCAGTTCCAATGCACCCTAGCCTCTTATTGGATCTTTGTCAAAGTCACAGGTTTGAGATGCTTCCCATTCATGCTCAACGTGACTCTTCTTCCGACTTTCACATTCTTCCAACTCTTTCTCTTGAAGCGGGCTTCACATCGCCGGTACTAAACAAAACAAACAATACATTCACTGTTCCAACCACCAAATGAGCCAGCACACCATACCGGGTTCCCGGTAGCACACCAACAAAGAAAGTCTATGATCGCTCATCCTGCTTGTCTATGCGCGTTGACCTGTGCTTGGATGACCGCCCCCCAAACATCGGCTCCTCTGTGGTGATATGCTCCGGGTGTCCCTGCCATGAGGTATGACAAAACCACACAGTGCCCTAGCTACGTTCGTAGCGTCCTTGTTACTAGCAGTGATGCCAGGAGCCCCTAGTAGCGTCCTTGCTACTAGTTGCGATAGCCTCCAAGCAAATAGCTTCTTGTTACTAGTAGTAATGCACCTGTTACTAGTAATATGAAGTTCTTGGTCGTTTGTTTCGCATAGAAAAAACATTGATATTCCACAGGTGCTAGTTGCACGTAAACCGCTTAAAACCTTCAGGCTGGTGAAACATCTGGAGGTATGCTCATTATTGGTAGCCAACAAACGCCAAACTGGCAACAAAACATGGTGAGAGATGAGCAGGATATGCATGAATAGTGTATAATAGTAATAATAACAATAATATATATATATATACATACATATTCCTGACTTGGCATGGAAAAGAAACACGAAACTAGTAGAGCCCGTCTGCTATATCAAAGTATAGTCTTGAGGACATCTATATGAAAGGTTCCCAAGAAACAATAAATGATAAGACTATACCAGAATCCTAAAAAATGAGGAGGAGGTGTTTGTCGAAAGACTTTCAAAGCTGTAAACACATTTGGAAAGACACAACACGGAAAACAACAACAACAACACGGAAAACAACAACAACAACAACAACAACAACAACAACAACAACAACAACTACTACTACTACTACTACTACTACTACAACTACAACTACAACTACAACTACAACTACAACTACAACTACAAACAACAGCAGCAGCAGCAGCAACAGCAACAACAGAGACGAGAACCTTTTTCTGTTGCCGACCTATCGCACGGGGTTTCGGCACACAGTCTCGGGGTTTAGGCACCTTCTCAATCGATGTTTCACGAGGCTTCCCACCCGAAGACGTCCGACCTTTCGGCCGACCGAAGGATTTCGTCCGCCTGGCCCGACTCGATGGCAAGCTCCGGGTCGACCACCTCGAAGGCGGAGAGGAAATCCTCATATCGCCTCGACGAGAGATGTCAACGGGAGGTGTCACGGTAGACGTGCACTTCGTGCTTGTTTTGCTTGGTTTCTGATGCTCAAATTGACAGCGCGAGTTGCACTGAGCTCAAAAAAACACCATCGCACTGAAAGACTTGATCAATGGTACAAGAAATGACAATATATGTTTTTCCTAAAGCGCCGTACAGTTATTCCTTCATAAGCTGCCCACACCCGAGACTTCTGCGCAATGGATCTTAGATGAGCTTAAATTAATAAGCTAGCAGCTGAATTTCTCACCCATCTGCTTCAGGATGGTGAGAACGGCTTCATCGGTGCCTCTGATGCTCAGGGTAGAGCCGGAAGGGCAGGCTGGGGTCTGCCATGATGCTCAGGAGATCACCTCAATCGTCCGGCTGTTCATTCACAGTAAATCTGGTGGCCCCAAAAGCGATTTGGATCTTCAAGAGGCCCACCTGTTTGAGCAGTGAGGTTGGCTTTAAATGCCCTAAGACCTATGTAGTCTGTGTATCTGGCTTGATTGGAAAGCAGTTTCCTTTACACCCTCGGATTCCTAAAGCCAGGCTCCAACAAAAAGCTCGAGGAAGATCTCGCCTTCGGTTCCGACCCATCTCGTGACTTTGCTTTTCAGTCCGACGGACTCTTGTCACTCAACGTATCTCAAACTTCCAGGACAGTGGTGATATGTGGTGATAGCGCACAAACGTCTCTCACCGCTTAAACACAGCTTGCAGTGCTTGCGGTCATCTGCTGGTTTGCCAAGTCGGCTCCACAAGAACAACAAATACATAATGCGCTCCCTGCGAGGAACTCTTTGATCGTTTCCCCAAATGGGTCACCAGCAAGCTGCGGAGCATCTCCAATGCCTGGGGCTGTAGAAACATCGGAGATCATCGGAGTGCTTCCCGCTGGATCAAATAGGCAAATGAACATACTGTATATCACAGGAATTGAATGCCAAACCGTGTGAAATCATGTGGAATCACAAAGCCAGTTTCCACATGTTCTTAGTAGGTGTGGTTGTCGCGTTCTGCGGTTCCAGTTTGGGGCCCTTGGCGAAAATATCAGTTTGGGCAGTTACATTGATGGACCAAAGCGGACCTGACACCCACACACATTTCGGTCTAGAAACATCTAGAAACACCGTTGACGCCATTTGAGATATGATTCATATGATAGACTAAATTCTAACTCTTTGACCACCAGTATGAGTCTCCGAGAAAACCCCTGCAGAGTACCTCCGAGGAGGCTTCTGACTCCTCTTTGAGCCGCTCCATGGCAAAAATCTGCTTTGAAGAAACTCTGGCTTCGTTTCCGCAGGATGTCAAAAAGGGGGGGCCTGGTCACAAGTCGTGCCTTTGCTCTTCCCAGGTGCTTTCAGTGGGGAATGATGAGTCCAAAGAAAAGAGGATTGATTACAATCCAAGGTCCCAAGGTCACTTTGAGCTCTTGACTTACAATCTGTTGTTGACCTAGCCTGTGTTCTTGTGACTTGGCAAAGTTGTGCTCTCAATTATTGTAAAACATTGTAAAACTGGGTTTGCTAATCGGAAGGAGCCCTTGAAGCTCTGTCTGTCTTCTCATAACTTTACTCCTTTGCAAGTTGATTCATCTGCAACAGTCAAAGCAAAATGGCTGCCTTTCCCGACAAACCTTTGTGCGGCTGACTCCGACCAAACAGAAAGTCGTCTCAATGCAGGTTAGGTCCTGGTCATTAGAGTCATTAGACCAATTGAGGGGACAACTTGCTGCAAATCCAAATTCCGTGAAGACCAGGTTGGAGCCTAAATCACTCTCTTGGGGTCGTTGTCATCACAAGGGTTGGTCCTCAAACATTGAGTTGAGACAGTCAGCCACATCTGTGTTTGCACTTGCGTCTTTTTCTAATCACGAATCCTGTTGGGTGCAAGGAGCAATGATTTCTCCTGCGTTTCTCACGACATAGTGTCTAGTAGGATGACTTCCTTGTCTTCTTGAAGCTCGGACCTGACCCATGGTCCATCATGCACCTAAAAGGGTTATATAAAGAAATAACTGACTCAGAGTCTGGTGTAAAGTACATTTAGATACATTTAGTTACCTGCTTGATCTTTTTGAGTTATTTTTTTCTCATGTTTTGTCTTGATTTCGTTGGTCCTTTGTGAATCCAGGCCTCGCAATGATTTGACTAGACCAAGGGATTGGTCATCGCCTCGTCGACCTTTCAAAGCTCCTGTCCTTCTCGTGTAGCTTTTTTCAAATACTGGGCCACATGTCCGATCCTCGAGCGCCCACAATCATGTGGAGAGTGGCGTGGAAGCGCCACAATCATGCGGAGCGCAAAAATGAACATAGCAAAACTAACGAGCTCTCTAAAGTTTCGAGATAGTTTCTCCAATCTTCCACTTCGTGCACTGTGGCAGTCCGCATTCCCATGTCCGGTCCTGTTTCCGCTGTTTCCTTCTCAAGGAATTTTCAGGGTTTTCACCAAACACCAAAAGAGATTGTGGATCCGGCGCACCTGGGATCCATTCCTTCAAAAAGGCTCGGTGACAGGAGTTGGCAGGGAAAATGTTGGCAGTGGAAACACAAAGCTTCCTGTTTGTGTTCTGGAGGAGAACCACTGGCTGCATGGAATTGCCATGGTCAAGATTCAAGATCTCAATCAATTGCCCCTTCAAACCAACTCGTACAACGCCATATTAACCATGACACCAAAATAAACAATACTTATATAAAAGGCACCGTTAACCAATCCACGCAGCTCCTCAACACTGAATTCAAAGCACACCCTTCTCAACACGGACGACGACAATTCAAGCACAGTCCCGCGCCTCTGCGCATCTAAGTAGCGCTCCACGACATATGAGGGTTCTAGCGGCAAACCCAAATCCACGGTCTTGGCATAGATCTGAAGTGCCTCAGCACTTCAGCACACTGCTTGAAGATGAGGGATTCTTTGCCCCTCAATCACTCTCCACATAGAGCCACCCTCAGTGCACAAACCCGGCAGATCTGCCTGATCATAGGCTCGCTTCTCGAACAAGGCATCTCCATGTTGCCGATAGATCTCAGCCGTGACCTCGGAAGCCCCACATCGAATTAGCCAATGGACGATGGCACCCGACGGACGAACATCCGGCGCTGCAGCCATCACCGGCGGAAGCGTGGCAGTGTGACAAACCCATGGCCCCAGCCTCTGGAGCACCATTGGAGGTTAAGGCTACCTGAGAAGACTGAAGGAGTATACAAAAAGTCACCAAAAAACAATGAAGCAATATAAAACACATCAAACACCTCTAGAACCGGACATGTGGACGTCTGAAGGAACTCACAGTCTCCAAATTGACTTGGGGAAGTCTCTCCCTTATATCTTTTTAAACCACCTCCAGTGGTGACTGGGCTTACTGAAAGCACATTCACCATTTGCCAGGACAAAACAACTGAGGGCCTTGTGATGCTAGGCTGCTAGGCGCTACAGACTCAGAAAACTCCATCTCCCAAACCGATCACCGATCTTGCTACGATGATGAGGAATCAGGAATTTCGGGGAATGTCTGGCTGATTGCAAAATCAGCTGCCAAAAGACTTGCCATGGCAGAACCCCCGACGCTGTCCGTCGGTGCACAACGATCGACCATCGGTCGATGGTCGATACGAGCCGACGCGCCTCGGCGGCCCATTCAAACATCCGCTTCTTCACCAAGACGTCCTTGGCCGGAGCAAACTGACGAGCTGGAGTCACTGGAGTCCTGAGAATATGATACATATGTCATTCCATGTCATTCCTACATGGACACCTTGATGGCTTGAGATGGTTTGAGTGACACCTCATTTGGAGTTCTTTACTTGGCACAAGATTCTGGATTGGTTGGGTTGTTTCCAGAGGAAATGCTTGTGGCTTGAGGATCCTTGCGACCTGCTATTGTCCGCAGGGCAGTCATCAAGTGACTTGGCAATCCGTAGCTGCTCCTGGTCTTTGAACCTCTTTCCAAAGGCGATCAGTTCATGTTTTGCCACATTCAGTGCCAACCACGCGACCAGCCGCTCTGAGAGGGGCTTCTCTTGTAGCTCAAAAAGGACCTCAGTCGATGAGAACAAAACACAATAAAACAAAGAACGCAGCTGACCCCGCAAATTTCCTCCCGAAAGCCAAGACAACCCCCATGTCCGGATTAGCCCTAACATGTCATGGGAGGGTTTGAACATGTTTGAACGATGTCCATTTGGCACATACATGGTCGCTTGGCATCTGTGGGGGGGATCAAACCACATTCACTCAGGATGCTTAGCAGTGAAATTGACTTGCAAGGCTTGTCTGCACGTATGCACATCAAAATATAATGTATGTTGATTCTGACTTGCCTGGATGATTGGGGACACCCCGCTGGAACGACGAACTCTAGCAATTCATGTTTACTTCAATGTAAGTCCTGATGGTGTTCCAAAAAGCCCAACTAAAAGAATGTTCTTTCGGCACGGCAGAGCATCTTCGCCTAAAGACAAAGTGCCTAGCAATTCTTCAAACCAGTAGAGAACTGATGAACAGTGGGATAAACCTGCCAACCCCTTGGCGAGTGGATCCAGCTCGCTGAGATCTCTCCTGTTCCACTAGTGTAAGGTTGTGTCACGGTTGCGTCTGGCGGCAAGAACCACATGACAAGATGGGGGTGCTAAGTCCAGCAATGCTGCATGCGCGAAAAACGGCAACCACGAGGGTCACCCCGTGTGTCTTTGGACTGTCATTGTCCGTCTTCTCTTTCAACCGAATGCGTGGAAGACTGGGTCTACCACTTCAGAGTCATCATTCAACAGTGTCTACACCGGTTGACTGCGTGACAAGTAGAGTTGACTTTGTGGCAGTCCATGAAAAAACACCTCTCAGTGATGTCCGTGATGTCCTGCTTTCAGTTGGATGATTGATTGTTCGGACCTCATGTTTCACTGTTTCACCCTTTTACTTCTCTCACTTGTTGCTTTACCTCCTTTTCATTCCTTTTCCTCGCTTTCCTTTTAGTGATGCTGGGCTAGTCCCTTCGGCGCGCTTCGACGGCAAATATGCTACGTCGACGTCCTTAGTGACTTTTGAAGCTTTCCAACCAAATGCTTTGATGGTGTCGTTCACTGGCTTTCCAACCGTCGAAGTCTCATCCAAATCTCCTCGGACTTCTGACCACACCATACCTTCCCTCGATTGCGTTGATTGGCATGGGGAGTCCAGATATTGCTGAAACGAACGCGACAAACACTTTTCAAGACCCCCTATATGATTCAATCACTTTTAAGTCCGAGGCATGGAAGTGATGGAAACCAAATCGCTGCTTCCCGATCCATTTCGCACCATCTCTGTGCAGTTCAATGTATTTTTGTTTCAGACTTGGTGGGTCAAAGTCCACTGATGTACCCATTCTCATACATCCTACCGATTCTCACGCACTGGTCCGCCGTTGATTCATTAAATCGTCACAACCTTCCTGTGACTCAGCGCAGTGTCCCGAGCGGCGGTGTTGCCATCAGCGCCCCCCTCGTGAGACCAGGTAGATCTTCCCAAGCGCCTTCACGACATGGGTCACGTCCGTGAACTGGCTGGTCTCAGAGGCGAGAGGAACGAAGAACCAGTCAACTGGTTCTGTGCACGCATATCCCTACCCATTAACCCATAGGGTGGGGATGTTTGCATCATGTTCTCAGATTTGCAAGTTTTACTGGGTTTTTCTTGCAAGAAACCTGACAGAGTTTGTTTTCCTGTGTCAAAAAATCTAACAAACCTTCTTGAATGTGAAGTACCATGCAGTACCCATCTCATGCACCAAGAATTGATTCACTTTGCTCATCCTGCCTTGGTTATCTCTTGTCTTGTGCTGTGCCAGAACGTACA